CGAGTCCAGTGCTTCCCCATTTTGGTGTGGACTCACCATGAAAATCTCTTTCTCTTCTCACAGCAGTCCGGGATCAGCCGTAAATGTATTGAATCCCCAGACCATACCTTGTTCTTAGTACATCGATCACTGTATCTCAGAGGAAGCAGCCTAATGTCACGGAGGAAAACTGATGAGGTCATGCGGTGATGGAAGAACAACGATTTTTGATTATTCAATTCCTTTACTGATTGTAATTACGACGAAGTGAACAAATGCCGGGTTACCACCGCAATCAAAGGAGAAATACAATATTCTTTACAGATCAGTGAGAATCAGGCGAATCCGAGTAGATGTGGAGCCCGAGTTGGATCTCATTGGATTTCCGCTCTCATTCAATGTTCAATGCAGTACCTCTAACACCATTTCTAAGATTCATGAAAGAATCAGATCCTCAGGTATTACAACAGGAAATATTGGTGATATAAACGATCTAGCCCCTTGAGAAGTTATCATTTCCGCGTTTCATAGTTTAAAAATTCTCTTCTACGAAATACACTGATTGTTTACCAGAGCCTTCCGAAAAGCTTTGAAGGAACTATCATGTCCACCGGTCAATCCCCTAGGACAAGTGCACACACAAACACAACCCTTGAAACAGAACGTCACAAACACAACACGTGCACACGGTTTGTATCATCAAACTCATCGACTTGTTAGTGTGAAATACATACCGTTCGATAATGTCATTTACAACTGAAACACACGCTGATGAGTTTATTCAAGTAACCGAGGGTTTGGAAATAGACGAACGGACAGAATGACCTAGCTCACATACTATGTACAAAACAACACGTACCTATTGTTCATCTCCACCAAAACCACGTGATTCCGTAAACCTGCCGACCGAAGAGAACGCGTAGGCAGGGAATGCCGCCGCAGACAGATATATAGGTTGTCAATGATGCATTTCCGATAAACCAACTTATTCACACATGGTCCAGAAAATTTATCGAACTCTGTATTTTCGCCCATGAGTATTTATTGTGCCTCGTTGTTGGTGATGGCCGGAGCCGACGGGGAAACACTGCAACAGATGCAGCAGGTGCTTCACATTCCTCCGAAGCTCAGATCCGATGCTGTTCATCAGTCCTATGGACCAATAATTTCCAAGTATTTCGAGGCGTCCAGTGACGTGGACTTGAATCTTGCTAATCGACTATTTCTTCTGCATTCGATCGATATACGTTCGGAATACAGTGCACGGATTGCCACGTGTTATAAGGCCTTAGTTGAGCTGGTAATCATTTTGCTCCAACATTCTCTCACTGTCATTTGCCATACAGCTAACCGAACTGCCGAATGTAGAGGCGAAAAGATGTCACATTAACGCCTGGGTTGCCGAAAATACGAAGGATAAAATAAGAGACCTGTTGCCGCCTAGCTTTCTCGACCAAAACTCGAAATTCTTGCTAATCAACGCGTTGTATTTTCGAGGTGAGTGTCTGTGATACCCAACTATGATCTGAACAAATTCATAGGCTCATGGGAGCATCAGTTTGATAAGAAAAAAACTCAAGAGAGTGATTTCCATTGTCTGAACGGGGAATCAATGAAAGTGCAAATGATGTATAAAAAATCGCGCTTCAATCTCGCCTATCTAGCAGAACTGGATTGTATGGCTATAAAACTTCCATTTCGGCGGAGCGAGTAAGTCTAATCACATAATAGACGGTTTATTCTTAAACCTATAGTAATTCCGAGTCGCAGTTTCCGTCAAACCAATCAATGTCGAAACCGGCATTTTTTCAATGGTGACGATTTTCTCCATGTTGCTCATTTCGCTCTTTGAGACGTTCAGTATTTACGCGTGAAGGTTATGAATGCACACCAAGTCTGAAACTGGATACTCGCGATACATTGGATATTATTCCAATATCATGATTTGTGTCTTCCATCAGTGCACGACAGACACGGCCAAACTATCCGAATACTGAGTTCACAGTTGAATGCACTTATATTAGGAAAAGTCTAGTAGCCGTACGGGATTAGATGTAACCTGTTTTGTGTGCCAAAGACGGGCCCGAAACCCTATATCTACTCAGACGGCTGTGAAATTATTGTGATTCATAAAACCTACAGACTTTAACACAGCTGATTTAGTCAGCGTCTATCTTGGATATTCCATAAAGTGCTCCAAAGACTGTCGGAGGATTTCGGTAAATCGCATGAGTGTCCGTTCTTAAAACAGTATTATGTTCAGAAGTAAGGCAGAAGGTTTTACATGCTTGCTCTCGTAAAGATCCACCTACATCTAATTAGGGTTCCCAGTTTGGGATCTCTATGTCCCAGCTTGAGCTACGATATGAGCAGTAGAATTCATCTGAATAAAAATTCGCACATATGCCTTTGGGTCCCGGCGCATTATTTGATGTTTGGCCCACACGCATTGATTGGTGATGTCTAGTGGCGATATTGATAGGGCTGAATTATCGGTTGCGTAACTCAGGGTCAGGTTAAACTCGAATCTCGCGAGCACGGGAGTGGGGTCACACATTCAAAATGCCAACTCGCCAGCTCAGGCCGATCAGGAATAGTCAATCAAAGAAATGGTTTAGCGAAAGGGATCCAACAAAACAGACATTGTGCGGTTAGGTTCTCCTGAATACATTGTGCAGCTCGTTAAGTTAATTCCACTCGACTGTTAAAATAACCGAGGGTCGACTGTGAAGAAACCAATAACAATTTTTGTTGAAGCCGTATCTGGCACATCGGCCGTCAGGATTCTTCGTCAAATAAATCGTCTCTCACAGTAAACACAGAGCCGACTACTACCGAAATCTACTGTTGACGTTTCACTCTTTTGTAGTAATCCTCTCATAAACTCATCTCTCTGAATGTATTTCTGGAGGTGTGAGTACCTCAGAATCATTTTGGAGGGCTAGTACATGTGCCCTCTATCTTCGCAGTATGGCACTCAAATAAATTACTCTTTCGTGACATAGAAACATCATCGTTGTATATTGTATATTTTGCATACTGTATATTTTCCGTAGGATTTTTTATTTCCAGCCAATATTAAAGAATCGGCTGTTACACAGGAGTACCCGGAAGCCTAGCATACATTAGTAGGAATACTAATGAATCACGCATTATTTTCCACTCAATTTATCCAACGGAAATTAGTCTAAATCATGCTCCATTCCTGTTTATTCCAGTTCCCAGAGTGAATGGGCCCTGTTGATTTTGTTGCCACACGAAAGGGCTGGTTTGCCGAAGCTTCTTTCCAAATTACGAGCACCAGGACAATTGGCGTCCGCAATGGGATGCAAGTTCTACATGGAAAACGCTCATCTGTATCTTCCGAAATTCAAGCTTGCAGATGAGCCCATGATAGATTTGAAGCCGATTTTATATGAATGTGAAATGAAGAAATTGTTCGAGGGAGCAGGCTTGTCCAGGTTGTCCAAATCGTTCTTGTCTGTGACCGATGCCTATCACAAAGCCGTGCTAGAGGCAAGTTTAATATATGAGAATTTATTCCAACCATCTGAGTAGTGTTCGGCCGTGTTGTCTATTATAATCAGTTAACCCAACAGGACTTCTTCATATCACTCAAATCATTTCAATAACCTATGCATGGTGTGCCATTATTCGGTGCAATGTTCAGCTAAACAATACCGTCCAGGAGCCCTGTTAACATTCGGCGAACGTACACCACAGTGTAACCAGAAGAAAGATTCCTCACAATTGATCGTTCTTTGCAAAAGTGAACAAAATGTTGGGCATTTGGAATTCCCACACAACAAAATGTGCATATGAACCAAGTTCATTTATATACACTGTTGTTCATTCATAGTGGTTTTTGTGCCCTGGCACACCTCATTATCTTAGAGACGATCAGTCCACTAATTTTGGGGCTTGAGTTTGTTTAGTATGCATCGTTCGCCAACACATGACCGCGTATCACGTGCGGATGTCTATTTCAGAGCCCATATTTTGACCACATCCCGCCATTCAACACCCCAGAAACGAGCAGGAGGAGCACATAATCCTATTCTTATTTTCTTTCTTTATTCAGCTCGATGAAGAAGGAGTGACAGCGGCTGCCGCGACATTATTCACTCAGAGTTTTAGTACTCGCTTGCCTGAGACAATTTCTGTCGACCACCCGTTCTTCTTCGCCCTCGTGTGTGATTCTGCGGTGCCCGTGTTTGTTGGACATGTTGTCGCACCAAACTGGGACTAATACACAGACAATTATGTTATTCCTGAACTTTTATCAAATGAATTTGTAATCTTTGCGTTTTCGCCCTCACCGACTGCAGCAATGCCGGATGCAGACTGATTTTTCTCGAAATTGTGTGCAAAATGCTGTGAGATGGAGTGACCCCATCCGTTGAGCTAGCACAGGAGGAGGGCCATCCTTTGGATACGGGTTGGCTGTTTTCGGGCGCAAATCATTTCACTCACGAAAATACAAGATAATAGGTGATTTGCTAACAACTCTACTGATTTTCTCACCTACTTGAATACGTCCATGACTAAATTAGAATCTAAACTAGCTGCGAAATGTAATGAATTGGATAAATACACCCAGGCCTGAGTTCGAAAATATTCCTTCTGTCGGTGTGGAACGCTCAGTATGATGGACAACTGTCAGTGAATCCTTTAAAAATATTGATTCATCTGATGGGTCGGTAATCTTCCTCCTTAGGGCCAAGACAGGATCTCAAACTAGGAGAATGCTTCCACACGGTAGCTGTCTTATCAGGTACACTTGTGCGATAGAACGCACCGGAGGTCGCCGATGTTTGGCTAGGGAATGTCTTTCTTTAGTGCCTGGCGATAAGTCGATGTAAGCTGAGGAATTTTAGTTATGGTCACAAAAGTGCGGAGAATAGGAATGTAACGCATATCGATGAATGAGAGTGTAATCCCTCCACCGTGCGAAATTTTGAATGTGCAGCTCAAATCCGTCGAAGCTTTCTGAGGATCTCAATTATGGATGAAAGCGAAGTAAATTCAGTTTACAATATGATTGTAATAAAGGCAGATTTATTAAGTGAGTGATCGTCCTAATGGTGGAAGTTCACTTTGGATTAATTACTAGACTCGCGCGACCAGGTTCAAAACTCAAGTTCACTATGGACTCATGCAGTCGATAGTTGATGAGACATTTGTGATCAGTGTGTCCAGCTCATCAAGCGACGTAAATTCGGTGAAATATTCATCGGCGAACTGACGGGTGAGGACTATTCCGTTGGACTGGTAGTATCTCGTGGACAGTTACTGCCAAGCAATCAGTCTAGCTGTTTCGGCCACAGCCCGTTTGAACTAGTGAAGTTGAAGACTGATGGGACCCAACAAATCTGTCGAAATATGATGCATTGCCCCAAGAAGGGGACGAGTAGTGCCGGCTATAGTTTAGCACAGACGTGTTGGTTTTGAAATGTCCATGCCAACCGTCGGCGTATTATCCGAAACCCGTTGCCTGATTGTCCAGTGTGTATAGCACAAGTTTAGTGACACTTGTGTCCGCGTTCACCTTCGTTACAAGGTACTCACGGATTATTAATCATAGTCGGTCAACATGATACTTAGAACACTTTCAAGGCCCGCCGTCCAATAACGATCAGTCGTTCGATCTCGGGTTAACTGGTCCATTCCATCCGAACATATGCTCGATTTCCGTTACTCTTCCAAATGCCAGTTACTAATCGGGCCTCTGTCGCTGATTGAAGTGTTGGCAGATTTGCTTTTAACACTAACCTGAGTTTTATCCCGCATTATCCCTTTCCCGCAAGTCACTTTATTGAATGAATAATTCACTTGACCGAAAAGCGGCTATTTTTTCTGCACAACAAGGGCATACCGCTTCGCATTAGCCTACGCTCAGTCCAGCATGCGGACAACGTTTCGTCGACGCCCTACGTGAGTTTGAGGCAGACGTCCGGTGACATATTGGGCATTCATATGTGCACTGAACACTCACCGTGTGCAGGCAGCTGCCTCACAGCTGTGAAGAACAATCTCTGGTACATAACCAGAAAAACACAGCACCACATTCGGGAATCCTAAACTGGTTAACCCGAGAAGGGATGTCAAACAGCTCAAGTGCCTTTTGGCCAACGACATCATAAAGTTCCAACTGGACTGCTGACACGCAAAATAGGCATACGATTGCATAGATCAATTATTGGACGATGCTGAGGTTTCATTTTTGCAGAAGTTTCGGGATCGCTACTGCAAAAATACCCAATGCAAAGAATTTTAGATTCCATAGAATTTCTTCCAACGTATATATGTATGCACATACGTGCATAAAACGAGGTGTTGGTGTGGCCGTTCTTGTCACATCATTTCAAACTGCAGAAAGCAGACGTCTTTCCTGTGGATCAACGAGTCTCGAATATCGTAGCAATGTAGAATGATGCTCACCCGAGTTAGGCCAGAGCTGCTTGACAAAATGAGGTAGAGCCCACAATGTAAAAACTCATAGGCCTCAAACTGCATACGGTCGTTTGTTTATAGGTAAATCTCGACTGATTCTACCAGTGCGTACGATTCGACGTTCAGCATCCTCCTAAGATTCTGCTGTTTCGACAGAATGGGATCCAGTATTTCGATTTAGTTTACCCAGTGTCAAATAAAAGTTCGCCGAATCAGCTGACGAGTATTCAGCAGTACTGATGCTTTGCGGTTTCGCAGATTGTTGGTAGACTGGGTGGGATTATTTGCTGTTAGTGCAGTGAATGTAAGGCCCACCGAACGAACCGCATGTACATTCGATTCATACTAACGGAAACACACGGGAATAAATTCGATTGGTACATTGTTTCACTGCACGTTCTCTCACTGTGAATGCTCATGCTCCTGATTATAACATGCCTGAAAGACCAGACTCAAAAGCTCTCCGGAGAATTTTCGACTTGCAACTCTTTCATAATTCCTGTGCCGTGTTTTATGAGTAGTATTATTCTGAGGAAAAGAAGACTGAAACTCGACTCGTCTTTATTGTTTTGCAGCCATTATCCCTCCTATACGTTTGTGTTTGCATTGAGGCTGCCCAGAGGGGTCGCAGTTGTGATCCGTTCATTTTAGGGAAAATGTATCTGCGTAATGTAATGCAGTTTGTACTACATATTGCACGTTTACTGTCTGGAAAATCCTAGGTCAGACACTTTCAAACAAATACACTAAAGATCAGGACGGTGAAAGTATTTTTCATTACCACTGTGATTCTCGCTATACTGGTGTACAAAGCACTCTGAGGTGAGATACCACAGCAATTCGTATTTGAACGCTAATTCTCATCATTCTGGTGTCCCCACAGACAATGTGCACTTCGATTGGGAAAGTACGCCGAAATAGCTAGCCTTCATAAAATGAAGTTTGGTGCTTACAAAGACAACCAAACAAAGAGTTACTATCAACTAACTGACATCGCACGTCTTTTTAAATCGTCATCGATGCAAAAGTAGTAAGCAAACTGTGCACTGCGTGGAATTGAGAACATTTTTGTTGTGTCACAGCATTAAATGTCGCTAACTGACCGGTGGTTGGTTCCAAGTCAGGATGCAGAAAGTACCCAAATCCGGGAGTAGCACCCGTTTCATTCAATTGTGGCAGCATGGAATTTTGTGTGGTGGTGAGATTTACGATACTGATGTTAGGTTGCATGAGATCCCATAATGTGGATAATTTGAGCAGGGCGATATCAAAGGTGCCTGTGTGATATGAAAATAAAATACAACTTGATGCGCGCAAACGAGAGTAAGTAAAGGAACAAAACAAACAAAACCAAATCATCCTAGTTCTTAAGGTGATGCATGATTCTGTTCAAAACGAAACACAATTTAGCTTTAAAAATCATAAATACATTTGGGTTTGCTAAGCTTCGGATGAGCAGTCTAAAGTTACTTTCTGTAACGGCAAACTGGACATCTGAGCCCGGAGCAGAGATCACGATAGAAGTCCACCACACGACATGTGTGATCAAATTTTTCATTCGAAATTGAGGAAATATCATGGTATTTTACCTGAGTTTCAAGAGAATGATTTCGGTAACCAGAAAGGATCCTCCATGTCGAATAATAGTAATGGTTTTCTTCTTAGGCGCCACTGTCCTTTACATATGGATGTCAGCTTCCAAATCTTATCGCTGGAGGAATACGCGTGGTTAGCGACGATATTCAAGTCACGCTGAAAAGATTTTCGGACAGAAGAGCGTTTAGGAATAGCAATGAGGAAAATTCACTTGCGTAAATCAATGATGGGGGTGAAAACGTCTGACCATTGATTGCAAATTTGATAAGAATGAACAAACGCGGCTGAAGCATCCTTGGAATTTTCTGCAAGTTGTTGCAAAAAGGGTCCCATGTATTGTTTAGGGTTACTTTGTTGCGAAACAAGAAATATGTATATGTATGTAAGATTATTGACGTGAGTGATGCTACAACTTACCTTTATTTCTTTTTGCTAATTAGTATTCCTTAACTGTAGGGAGTTAGCTTCACTTTCAACATTATATTCTGCACTGTGCCTGGGGAAATTCCAGCAAGTTAACCTGATGTCATTTTCGAAACAAGTGTTGAACAGCTAGACTTGTATCACCGATCCTTCCCAGGATAATGGTAATCCAATATCCAAACGACCTTCTATCTTTTCGGGAGTTCATATTCAATCGCGTGCGTCAGCTACACGAGGGTCGCTGATATCGTGCGCTCGCCGGATTCCTGGACTGATTTAGCAGTCGGAAGATAACATCAGCTATCTCCTTATCGCTATCCCGGAGTTCCGCAATACCTAACACAACTAGACGGAGCTACGCGGTGACCCAGTAGAGGGTGTTTTGTTATTTAATCTCAAATAAGATACGATTATTTGTCAGAAACCAACCGCTTTGGAAGTCGTCGAAAAACACACGAGTCTGATATCACTTATTTTATTCTAAAATTGGTGTGACTAGAGGAAATTTGAACGTGTAAATCCGTTCAGGTCGCAATTATCAACCCTCAAATTCACGATTTCAGAGATCCGTCGTGCCTGTACAACTGGCTACATTGCTTAAAACATGAATTGCTGGTGAACAACCTGCACTGTTACAACAAATTAAGGACAATATAATGAATATTGCACTATTGTTATTTTGAGCCAGGACTGATACGGATACCCAGGAAGACAAATTTCTTCCCATCCTCAACCGGCCAATCAAGAATGAGGTTCCGGTTTGATTCAAACAAGTTT